TCGACAATACCCCAGCCATAGGCCCGTCCCCTCACTTTACGGCCCTTCACTTCGTGCGTCTCCAGCGATGACGAGACGGCGAACGGAATGGCGGCCTTCAGTTGGCGCACCTGTTCCTTGTAGTCCTGGTCTTCGTCGGGATCGCAATCAGGTATCGAATAGATCTGAATTCCGTGAGTCTTCAGTTCGGTCACAATGCGCTTCTTCAGCGCCTGCACCTCCTCTTTGGTGAGTGAGTCTGATTTGGCGATAATCGGCACTATATTCACCTTATTGTGCAGTGTCTTCATTGTCATCACATCCAGAGGTTTGAGACCGTAATTGACGGGCGATATAAAGTAGAAGCAGCAGTGGATCCGCGAGTCAGCGATCTGTCGCCGATTCAAACCCGACTCGTCGTTCAGGTATTTCTCGTACTGATCGTCGATATAGTCGATGATTGGCTTACAGTCGTCAACCGAGTCCAGCGAATCACCGAAACCTGGAGTGTCTACCACTGCACGGATCAGACAAACAAAACAAAGACAAACATTGGATCAAATGGACAAAGAAGTGACTGTCATTGTACTGACCGGTGAGCTTGAGTTTGACGCCGCGCTCCTCGATGTCTGCGGTGTTGGTCTCGATCTTAAGAGTGGACTCCAGATGTTCATTAACTGACGGTATTTGTCGGCCCGTCTTGAGCCCAGTGTTGAAGATACAATTGATGAGGGTGGACTTGCCCAGACCACTCTCTCCCACCACCATTAGTGTGAACTCAAATCCCTTCTTCACGTAATTCCTGTGGACCTGATTCGGCAAATTACCGAACCCGAGGTACTCAGTCTCGGACGCCATTGCTGTGCGCTGTCTATTGGACCAAATGTGGTGACAATCGGGTGATAATCGGCGGACAAATGTTAACACTTTTAAGTCTATTGAAATACTGCATACAGTATACGATATGTGTGGCTCTTATATAGTGCCCAATAGAGTAAAATACAATTAATAATAAACTATGTCTTCATAAAAAAAACTTACAGACAATGAGTATATGTAATGCCTTTCAATGGAAAGTTAGGAGTATATAATGAATATGACTTATTAAAGTCACAAAAAAACTTTACAAACTTTACAACTTTTGACTTTAATTAAAGATACGTATAATTGACACCATTTATGTGAGAGACCTATCATTTGATTAAATAAACAATAAATGATTACATCGACGTTTTGGTACTATATGTCTACACACAACACCATTGAATGCAATAGTAATACTCGTAACATAATAGGACCAAAACATGGGTCACTAAATACGGCATTTAAAGCGCAGGGCGTGGGCTATACAAGCGCTGTGTCTATTAATATTTCATTGACAGCCAGTGTCTGACAGAAGCAGTGATTGTTATACTAAACGGCAAAACAATAGTAAAGCAAAAGTGAAACACATTTTCAATACAATTAGTGATTAAACCGATTGTTAAGTCAATCAACGCCTAACACGTGGTCTGCCATTCATTCAGACAATTGTCTCACCTCTCCTGAAGACACATCTCTCTCAGACATTGATCATGTCATCCGAAGACAAACCGACCGGCGCTTCGTCGACGCCCGCCGCCAACCATCCCATCGGATCCCACGGCACGGGTCCGGCCATCACCGGCAACAAACCCGTTGTGAATCCGTTGTCGAAGCCGAAGATCACTCAAGCGCTGAACGGCACTGGAAATGCACTCAAGACAAGCGCCCATCAGAACAGCGCCAATGGCGGCCAAAACGGCAACGGATCCAATGGGTATCGGGTGCTGAAGCCCGACGGCTACGTTGGCATCGACTCACTTCCCGAGCAGTTTGTGTCGCGTATAGTGAGGGACGGCTTCGGCTTTAATATCATGTGTTTGGGTCAGACAGGGGTTGGAAAGTCTACGCTCTTGGACTCGCTCTTTAACATGAAGTTCCCGGATGTGAGCACTCGTAGCCATAACCTGTCGGCAGTGGACGTGACCGCACACAACTACGACCTCCAGGAGCGCAATATTAAACTAAAACTCGGACTCATCGAAAGTAAGGGCTTCGGCGACCAAATTAATAAAGGTATGGATCGATTGATTTGTTTTTACCGCCGATGACAACCATTGTCTTATCACTGTCTGACTGTTTGCTTACTCATCTATTCAATAGCCGATTCATATAAGTCGGTCGTGGAGTACATCGACCAGCAGTTCGAGCGCTACCTCCAGGAGGAGCTCAAAATACACCGAAACCAGTCGCCGGTGAACGACACCCGCGTTCACGTCTGTCTATACCTCATCTCACCGGTGGGTCACGGCTTGCGGGCCATCGATTTGGTGACGATGCGCGAGTTGGCCGCCAAATGTAATTTAGTTCCCGTAATCGCCAAATCCGATACCATTACGAAAGCCGAGTTGGATAAGCTTCGCGTGAAGATCATGTCCGAGATTGTGACCAATGGGATCAATATATACCACTTTCCCACCGACGACAACGACGTGGCCGACCTCAACGGCAAGAACAACGCTCTGTTGCCGTTTGCACTCGTGGCCAGCCATGAGTTCGTACGGGTGGGCAGTAAACAGATGCGCGCCCGACAGTACCCGTGGGGCACAGTTCAGGGTATGTGTGCAACTGATCCGACGCTTCACTGAATACTAACGCATGATTTGGTTTGCATTGATTTGTTTTAGTGGAGAACGAGAACCACTGCGACTTCGTTCGGCTCCGGGACATGATTTTGCGTATAAATATGGAGGACTTGCGAGAGACGACACACTCACGTCACTACGAACTCTACCGACGGGTACGGCTCGAGCAGATGGGCTTCGGGACAGTGGCCGGCGGCGACTCTACCAAAAACGCCAGCTTTCAGGAGACGTACGAACAGAGACGGGCCGCACATCTCACCGAACTTCAGCGCAAAGAGGAGGAGATGAGACAGGGATTTGTGCTCAGGTATGCTGTGGTGGAGGCGTAATGTATGGGCACAGGTCTGGCCCTATGTCTGAGTGAACGCTGTATTAAACGATTGTATTTTTTTCTGACCACCGATTTGTAGGGTTAAGGAGAAGGAGGCGGAGCTGAAGGAGGCCGAGAAGGAGCTCCACCTGAGGTTCGATCGGCTGAAGAAACAGTCCACTGAAGACAAGCGTCGACTAGAGCTCGACAAACAGAAACTGGACGACGATATACAGGCGCTGAACGCCCGCAAGCAGACTGTGTTGGGCGGCTCCGGCAGTGGCACTAACCTTACGCTTCAACAGTCACTGCTCGGCAAGAAGAACAAGAAATAGTGACGTCTAGTGGTCGTACCCGCGCTGATGGTGTCTCACTATTCTTCGAGATATCAACTGATTATCTTCTAATGGTTTCCTATCTATTCCTACAGTATTTACAATACCTGAGCTCTCAATGAGTTTTAGTTTTAGTTAAACTTAAAACTGATTGTCAGTTAAGTTAATAAATGAATGCTTTAATTATCAAAATATACGAAATAATACTTTTCCCATAAATTTTGCTAATAATTTGGATTCAGATTTATATTCACTAAACAAAAGAATGAATTAAATTGAGATTTAATTACAATTTAAAATATTAGCGCAAATACCGTATATACTCTCATAAAAACACCGGTAATATTATGTGAAATCCAGTAAAAATGCGATTTTTCAAAACAGGGGTAATGTTATTTAGATAAGATTACCCCCATTACTAAAACACATATTGTTACC